TCAAGCCACCTCCTCTTCAGGAAGCTTCCCTGTTTCTCATGTCCACCACCCCCAAGTTGTATTCTGGGTTAGGTGCCTACCCTCTGTGCTCCAGCTCTGTATATACCTCTGTCTCAGTGCTTACTCTGCTGGATAACAATAGTCTGCATATTTGTCTTTATCTTTTATTAGACAGTGAACTCCTTAAGGGCAGAGACTACATTGTTTTAAATCTCTGTATCCCCAGTGCCTGATACACAGAAGGTGCTGATTAAATGTTGAATGAATGAATTCAATTTAAAGGACCACTCCTCCTGCAATCTTCATCATTTTACTAGTTGCCCTACCAAAAGTCGAATTCATCCTCTTTCTCTTTGACCCCACCTCCAGTCTGTGAGCAAATCCTATTGCCTGTTTCTTCATATGGTTTCTAGAATTCAGCCCCTTCCCCCACTACCACCTGTGTCCAAGCCACCACTAAATCTTGCCAGGATTATCTTCAGAGCCTCCCAACTGATGTCCTGCTTCCTCCTTTGTCCCCTTCAATATGTATTCAACACAGCAGCCAGTGTGCTCATGTTAAAACATAAGTGAGGGCTCCCCTGGTGGCGCAGTAGTTAAGAATCCGCCTGCCAATGCAGGGGACACGGGTTCGAGCCCTGGTCCGGGAAGATCCCACATGCCACGGAGCAACTAAGCCCGTGTGCCACAACTACTGAGCCTGTGCCCTAGAGCCTGCAAGCCACAACTACTGAGCCCACGTGCCACAACTACTGAAGCCCATGCACCTAGAGCCCATGCTCTGCAACAAGAGAAGCCACTGCAGTGAGAAGCCTGCGCACTGCAACAAAGAGTAGCCCCCGCTCGCCGCAACTAGAAAAAGCCCACACACCGCAACGAAGACCCAACGCAGCCAAAAATAAATAAATAAATTTTAAAAACATAAGTGAGATTGTATTATTTCTCTGTTCAAAGGACTCCAATTGCTTCCCTTCTCACTCAGAGTAAAAGCCAGAGTCCTTACCTTGTCCTACAAAGCCCTGTGTCACCTGGCCCACCCGTCCTCTTTACTCACTCCACTGCAAGCCTCACTGACCTTCTCCAGGAACACTCCTGGCATGCTTCTGCCTCGGGGCCTGTGTACCTGCTGTTTCCTCTGCGTGGTTACTGCATGGTTCATTCCCTTACCTCCTTTAAGGTCTTTCCCTAAATGGCCACACTGATGAAAATGGTGCCCCCTTCTACCCTGCAAAACTTTATCCCCCTTCTCTGCTTAAATTTTCTCCTTAACCTTATCCTCTAACATACTACATATTTTACTCATTTATCCTGTCTTACACCATTAGAACATAAGCTTCAAAAGGGCAGGGATTTTCATTTTTTATTTACTTCTGTATCATCAGCACCTACTTAGCACATACTAGACACACAATACGTATTTGATGAGCAGACCATGGACTTGCAGGTCATAATAATTTACTTATCCTAAGATACACATAAAGTTATTTAAGAATTGCTAATTCATACCTCGGATAAAAAACACCTATTAGCTAGTTTTATATGTTTCCAATTGCTTTAAGAAGGTAGATTTAGTATCAGTAAAAATAAAATTTCTAACAGCTCTTGTAAAAAATAGGCTATTGGGGTGAGAATGAATTCCTATCTTTTGAGATTTTCAAAAATAAAATGAATAATCACCTGGTGATTGGATTAGATCAGTGGATGCACAGGGAACATATGACCATGTCTGGGAACATTTTTGGTTGTCACAACTGGAGGATGCTACTGGCATCTAGTGGTAGAAGGCCAGGGATACTGCTAAACATCCTACACAATTGCACCCCTGCCCTGCCCCAAACTAAAAATTATCCAGCCCCAAATGTCAGTAATGTCACAGTTGAGAGACCCTTGATCAAATGAATTTTATAGTCCTTTATAATTCTGTGATTCTCCGATTATAGGTCCTTTCTTTTTCTGAAGGTAGGGAATTCCTTGGAAATCACTTTTGCGAGTTTTAAACTCCTCATGTTTTTATATCTTAATGCTTACCGCATTTTTACGATAATTAAAACAGCTTTTTCTCTTCCTGCTGTGAACCCTGCCATTGTGTTCCAGTCACTGTAGGAATGAGTTGCATTGTCGCCAGGGAGAACTAGGAGTAGTATTATTGTTACTCCACTTCTGGGAACTTAGAGAGTTATTACTATTTATTTTATTTTCACAGAAGAAAGCCCAAATAGCTTAATACCCTGGGGAAGAATTTGAGAGCAGAACCTTACAGGTAACTTAAATGAAGATGATACTTGCCATTTTTATGAAATTGGAATTTTTATCAATAACTCTTTTTGAATGCCAACGGTGTTATCATTGTTGTGACAGTGAAATTAATTTCCTGTCCTTAGGCCCTAAATCTGGTAAGGCAGGTTTGTTCCTGTAGTGTATCAAGTTGCATTCCTTTGTAAGGAGCCAAGCACTTAGATTTATGACCCTGATCTGCCATTTTCTTATCTCAGTGGTCATTGCACGTGTTCCCCAGAAGTGCACCCAATTAGCATTCTCCATTTTTGTTTTCTGTCCTTAACTCAGGAGACTCACTACTAATAAAACTTTGTGTTTAATATTTCAGAAGTAAACAGCTGTGTTTCACTTATCCTTGAATCAGTGAGTGATTTTAGTGAGTGTGTTCAGTTACTGTTCTTCATCTTTTAATTTTGGTTCTGTTTTCTTATAAATTATTTTTTATGAAGAAAGAAAACAGAATCATTTGAATTGGAAGAAAAACAATTTCCTGTTCTTAAGTAGGTAAGGTATTAATATTCCCATCTTAGAGCTGAAGGAACAGCCATGGCTTGGAACTGGCAGAAGAATTTTCTACATGTAAATAAGCAGACAGCTTTCTTTATCCTGCAGCCATATCCACCGTGATTTAGTCAGAGTCGGAATCACTCATCGTTCGTTTGCAGCTTGTTTTTCCTCCGTAGAATGTTGTCCTTTGCTTGATTATATAGGTTGCAAGTTTTTAGTAAAGTTTGGATCCTCAGGTATTTTCCCAGAACTCATAAAATGATAGTGGTTAAAAAATACCTCTCCATCTATTTTGGCTTAGAGCATTAAAGAACATCTCAGAAAGAAAGCTTTGAAATACAAAGTATTCTTACAAGGACCTTATATTCTCTTCTTTAAATGATGTGATGCATTTTTGTACTTGACAGTGTCCTTAGAATCCTCTCCATCTTTCAGCCTGTGTTAATAATGGGGATATGTAAGCAGAATTTTAAATAGTGGCTAAATCTTAATCTTTGCTGCATTGCCTCTGAAATGTTTTGTGTGTGCCTACCTCTTGAATAGAACATGAAGGGAATTTTGATTTCCAGAGAATTTATTTAATGGGCAACCTATTTCATTTGTTTAGAAATGTATGTACACTGTGCCTGTCTACAGTATCCCCAGAAGCTTGTGATCTCTGGTTCTGAGCTCTCCTGTCTTCATCTTTAAAAAAAAAAAAAAGCGGTAGACTGCTCAGTAGCACTTTCTAGTCTGATTTTTCTGGCTGTTGATCGTTTGTTGTTAAGTGATGTGTACATTATATTGAATAGGAATACATTATAAAGTCTGGGCAAATGGGCGTGTGTTGATAGTCTTCTACCTTGGCCTCTTGGGCACTTGTGCTTTTGTAAAATGAGACTAGCAAGAATCTCCAGTTAAGAGTTTTTCAGATTATGATCAATGCCTCAAGTGACAATGTATGAATATATTGAGTCATAACTAAAGATGACTCCTTTGTGTTATGTGGAAAAATATAACAAATACAACTCATAAAATTATTTGATAATGTCTTTTATTTTGAGAAATGTGTTCTCACGATGTTTCTAAGAGAGAGGTGCCAAAATATCTTACTTTTGCAACTGCATTCAGCTAATGAAAATTTAGAATTTGAATTTCCTGGTGTTTTCACCAAGCTTAGCCTTGGTGTTTTCTATATATAGTATGTTGTGAGATTCCTTAAATCAAAACATTCTTAATCCTGTTGTATTTAAATGGCTTTTAGTAAAAGAAGATTTCTCTTCCTTATAATTGTGCCTCTTGGTTCTTCAGAGTATGGCTAGAGCCAGATAGCTTGATATACCATTGTTTGCTGAGTTTGCTCATTAGTTTACTTGTTAAGTATTTATTTAAGAAACATTTATAAAGTATATACTGTGTGTCAGGCACTTTGTTACAAGTCTGTCTGGTATTTTTCTCTAATCATTTCAGGACTGATAAGGAATATTTTAATAACTCAAGGTGGTATTAAATTGGGATCATGTGTTTTCAAAAAAGAAGCACCTGGCTCATTGTATTGTTCCACTCTGAGGCCACCTTGGGCAGCCAAGATCCCCATCCTTAAACTTGTAAGGATTATGATGCTTGTGAAACTGTTTCAGGTGTTTTTGTAATGGTTCATAACTACTGCTTGCTGCCTGCCTATCCTAATTCCCCAAGTGATGAAGAAGTCTTCTGTGAGCCTCCAGTCCCTGTTGAAGCACTTTCAAATGTCACACTTTCTCTCATTTATTGTACTAGATCCATACTCACTTAAAACCATGTGAGCTACTTACATGAGAGCTGTAAATTGTGTGTTTTATGTGATATTGTCATGGACTTATTTAGCATGTGATCAACAAGTCTTAAAGCTGTTTTTAAAAACTGTACTTAAAACTATATCAAAATTGCTACTTTGGTGGTTATATAAATTGACAAACAGATTGCCTCCTATTATACAAATGAGGAAACTCAGTACTCTCTTCATGTGGAGAAGTGCTGCTGCCAGCCATTCTGCTATCAGCAAGGCTTCTGAATTGCTTCTAACAGTAGTGGTTTGTTTTGTACCCTGGCACAAAGGGACACCTTACCTTAGGTCTCCTAGTAGGTCAGTGGCAGACGTGTAACTGAAACATTGGTGTGTAGCTTTTACATAAGACGGCAAAGCTTAAAAGGTTCCATTTTGCTTTCCCTTTGTCTCTCCCCCTTTCTTTTTAAAGGAGTGGTGAATGTGCTGCTAACAACTCCACTCTGGGTAGTAAACACCAGACTGAAGCTGCAAGGGGCAAAATTTAGGAATGAAGACATTGTACCAACCAACTACAATGGTATTATTGGTGAGTGTCTCTTGGGTGAGTTCCTTTGTAAAGATGTTCTTTTCTCTTTGTATCTGGAATTTATCACCATGATAATGCTACAACCTCAAATCTCAGTGCCCAACAGTAAGTATTTGTTTAGCTCATGTCTCTCTGGATTGACAGGGATTTGACTCATCTAGGCTGACTCCAGCCTAGGAGTCTCAGCTCCATGTGTCTCTCTTCCTTTTCCTGGGACCAACCTGAGCATATTCTTCTCTTGGTGATGGCAAAAGCACAAGAGGACATGCCCAATCATAACAAGCATATTTCAAGCCCCTGTTTGCATTTTGTCTGCTAACATCCTCTTGGCCAAAGCACAACCAATGGCCAAGCCCCAAGATAAGGGGTAGAGAAATATACCCATGGAGTATATCCCATGGGGCATAGGTGGGAGGGAATGAATATTTCTGAAGAGCAATCTGCTACGTTTTTTTCCCTAGTGTTTTCTTTAGATAAGGATACCAGATTAGCATCTGATATCCTTGAGCTTCTGCTTTTTAATAGTATTACATTGCCAGCTTCTCCTTTCCCATGCTTCCATCTTTGTAATGAGAACAGGGGTTTTCTTATAAGACATTCCTATAAAATGGACTCCAGAGAACTACCTAATCATTTTTTTATACATTTATTTATTTTGGCTGCATTGGGTCTTCGTTGCTGTGCACAGACTTTCTCTGGTTGTAGCAAATGGGGGCTACTCGTTGTTGTGGTGCGCAGGCTTCTCATTGTGGTGGCTTCTCTTGTTGCAGAGCAGGGCTTCAAGAGCTGTGGCACACAGGCTCAGTAGCTGTGGCTCGCGGGCTACTGAGCACAGGCTCAGTAGCTCAGTAGCTGTGGTGCACGGGCCTAGTTGCGCCGCAGCATGTGGGATCCTCCCGGACTAGGGCTCGAACCCATGTCCCCTGCGTTGGCAGGCAGATTCCCAATCACTGCGCCACCAGGGAAGTCGCCTCTAATCTTTTTCTGTACTGACCTTTGTTGTGAAACACATGGGCTATCAGTTCACAATTCTGTGTAGTACAGAGTTCCCAGTGGTGGTGATGATTACTTAGGAAAACTTGACATGCTAACCCCAGATTTGTCAGGAAAGGTTGCCTATGAGTGAAATTGGTCTCTCAATAACTTGGTGATGGTCAGTATCTGATGATTATTCAAAAGTAGTTAACTGATTAACTTGTCATTGTGAGAAGGAAATCTTGATAGAATCAGTATGATAGAATACTGATAGAATGAGTTTTGTGTTCTGGGTACATTGTCTTCTCTAGTTAGGGGATTGTCATCAAAGGTCCTTGATTTCTTGCTCAGATGCTTTTCACCAGATCATTCGCGATGAAGGAATCCTGGCTTTATGGAATGGCACATTTCCCTCCTTGCTGTTGGTCTTCAATCCTGCCATCCAATTCATGTTCTATGAAGGTTTAAAACGGCAGCTTTTAAAGAAACGAATGAAGGTAAGCCCTGATTCTGAAAGCAGCAGACAATCCCTGACACCTTCTTGCGGTTTAGATTGATGCAGTTTGTTCTTCCTTTGCTTTCCAGCTTTCTTCTGTGGACGTGTTCATCATTGGCGCAATAGCCAAAGCCATTGCCACCACGGTCACCTATCCTCTGCAGACAGTACAGTCAATTCTGAGGGTGAGCGCCAGGGTTCTCCCTGCATTTAGTCAAACAACATTCTAAAATACTTGGTTTCCCTGCTTGAAGCAATGTTTTTTAATAAAGCAATAAAGTATTCCGGAGCATTCCTCATGCATTTTTCCCATTATTTGATATTTTGCAGATTGAGGAAAGAGCTATAAAGGAAGTGAACAGCATTCTATGATTTAGTGGAGAGGGGCATGGTGGGGGTCTTCTCAGGTGGCATGATTGGAGATGGGCTCCTCTGAGGAGCCATATGTAAATTAAGACTTAAAGGAAGGTAAGGATCCAGCTGTGCAAAGAGCAGAAGAAAGAGCATTCCAGGTAGAGGGAACACGATGTACCGAGAGCTTGGTGAATCCTAGGAACTGAAAGGAGGCCATTGTGGCTGGAGGTGGCTCAGGAGGAGATTAGAAAAGGAGCAGGGAGCCTATAGGTAAGGACGAGATTTTATTCTCTCTGCAGTGGGAAACCTTTGCAAGGCTTTAGACTGGAGAGTAATGTGGTCTGATTTGCAATTCGAGAAGATTGCTGTGACTGTTCAGTGGTGAATTGGTCAGAAGGCTAAGAGAAAGGGGGGTTGTCAGGTTAGGAGGCTATTTCAGTCATACAGGTAAGATGTGAGCGTGGCCTGGACTATGGTGGTAGCAGTGGGGAGGAGAGATTCAAGGTCTGTTTGGGAGAAAAAATTCAAAGGACTTACTGATGGGTAAAATGAAGGTGGAAGTGAAAGTATTTCAGTTCAAAAAGATTATTCCCTTCTGTTAAAAGTATTTTTACTAATGTACTATTTTAAAGTTGGTACTTAATATAAAGAAATTCAGTAGCAGTCAAATGAATGTATTTTGACACTTTTATAATAGAAACATATAATGTGAAGAGCTCAACTTGCAGAGATTCTAATTAATTAGTGTTTATCATAACTTCTTAAAGGATTGGAAGCCATACCATCAATATCTAAATCTTCATCGTGGGCATGGCTTTTTCTTTTGAGGTAGAATTTTCCCCATGACTCTATAAAATAAAAATTCTCATGCTTGCTTCATTGAAAAAATATTTCTTATTTTCACTTATTTCATTGAAATAAGAGGATTAATTAAATCTAAATACTGATGGATATTTTTATTACCATATGCTGTAACATGTTACTCCAACATAATTTCCTCTGCAAGCGGAAACTGAGATAAAGAAAGCTGAAATTGAGATAAAGAAAGCAGTAGCAAGCAGTAATTATTTATCTTTTTTTCTTCTTCCCCAGTTTGGACATCACAGACTGAACCCAGAAAACAGAACACTGGGGAGTCTTCGGAACATTCTCTATCTTCTTCACCAACGAGTAAGGTGAGCTTTGTAGATAGTTCAAATTCTGTCCTCTTTTTTTTTTTTAATTTATTTTATTTATTTATTTTTGTCTGCATTGGGTCTTCTTTGCTCCACGCGGACTTTCTCTAGTTGTGAGCGGGGGCTACTCTTGGTTACGGTGCACAGGCTTCTCATTGTGGTGGCTTCTCTCGTTGTGGAGCACGGGCTCTAGGCGTGTGGGCTTCAGTAGTTGTGGCACACGGGCTCAGTAGTTGTGGCTCACGGGCTCTAGAGCGCAGGCTCAGTAGTTGTGGAGCACAAGCTTAGTTGCTCCGCGGCATGTGGGATCTTCCCAGACCAGGGCTCGAACCCGTGTCCCCTGCACTGGCAGGCGGATTCTTAAACACTGCACCACCAGGGAAGCCCTCTGTCCTCTCTTTTAACAGCCCTCTCTGCCAAGAAGTGGTTGGATTTGCTTACCTTGCACTTCTGCCTTGGCAGTGGCAGCCTAGAAACCTCTCCCTTGCCTGCTGTGCTCAGACATTTCTGACTTTAGGGGCTAAGTGAGAGATGACAGCATTTTGGGAAATTATGGAAGAGTTTAGGTCCTTATTCTTTGTTAGTTACAAAGATTCAGTACTCCTTTAGAAAGGGAATCCTCCTATGAAATCCTGCCATTTGCGACAACATGGATGGACCTTGAAGGTATTATGAAGTAAGTCAGGCAGAGAAAGACAAACATGTGATTTCACTCATATGTGGAATCTAAAAACAAACAAACAAACTCATTGATGGGCAGAACAGACTAGTGGTTACCAGAGAGGAAGAGGATTCAAGGGTGGACAAAATGGTTGAAAGGAGTCAGCTGTACAGTAATGGTTGGTTACTGGACTTGTGTTGGTGATCACTGTGTAGTGTATACAGATGTCAAATTATAGTGCTGTATACCTGAAACATATAATTTTAAAAAAGAGAGAGAGCCCTGCTGTAATCTAATATAGAGACCACTCTGCTGAGTAGTCCTCCATCGATGACATATCCTATGACCTCTCATAGATAGAAATAAGCAGCTATTAGAGAGCAGCGGTCATAGCGGGAAAGGGAGGGAAGAGTAGGAAGAGTTACAACAATTATCATCATAATGGTGACAACAGTGATAATGGTGATGAGAGCAGCTAACACTGTTGAGTGTTTGCTATGTGGCAGACACTAAGCCAAACGCTCTACCTGGGTAATCGCACTTAATCCTAACAACAGCCCTATGAGGCAGGTACTGTCGTCATTTCCCCGTTTCATTTAAAGAAACTGACCCCTAGGGAAGTCAAATAGATCAGCACCTTTGAAGCAAAAGCTGCTGTAACTTTATTACTGTTTCTAGATGTAAGATATTTTAAAATAAATTTATTATAAAGATAGAATATACTTGGGATAAAAAATAAAATCAAAGATAAAGAATTGGTATAAAGTAAAAAATAAATGCTGACCATACCAAGTGTTGGCAAGAATGTGAAGCGACCAGAACTTTCCTATGCTGGTGGGAATTTAGAATGGCACAACCACTTTGGAACACAATTTGGCATTTTCTTATAAAGCTAAACATACACCTACCATAGACCCAGCCATTCCCCTTCAAGGTATTTACCCAAGACAAATGAAATGCGTCTATACAAAGACCTGCGCATACATGTTAATAACGGCTTTATTTGTAAGAGTCAAAAACTGGAAACACCCCAAATGTCCATCATCAGATGAGTCTATACAAGTTGTGGTATACTTATACAGTGGAATACTATTCAGAAAGGAAAAAGAAATAATTACTGATACATGCAAAAATGTGGATGGATCTCAAAATAATTTTTCTGAGTAAAAGAGGTCAGTATGAAAACGATTTCATACTGTATGATTCCACTTATATAAAACTTAGAAAATGCAAGTAATCTACAGTGACAGAAAACATATTAGTGGTTGCTTAGGGCCAGAGTAGGTGGAGGGAGAGTGAATGCAAAGGGACGTGAGGATACTTTTCCAGGTCATGGATATGTTCACTACCTTGAATGTGGTGATTGTTTCATGGGTGTACCCGTCAGTCAAAACTCATCAAATTGAAGTCATTTAAACTTCAATAAAGCTATAAATACGTGCACACTTACTGTGTTTTCTCTCCTGTCTCTTTACCAAGAGCTAGTCACTGTTAACAAAAAGTGCATGTATTTCCAGAATACTGTATAAAACATATATTTTGGGTATTCATTTTTATACAAATGGAATCATATGGTAATACTGTTTTGTACCTTGCCTTTTTGTAAAAACGTTACAAACAATCCTTCACATCAATATCTGTACATTTATCTAGTTTTTTTTTAAATGACTGCATTTTTTGTTATATAATATGCCATAATTTATTGACCAATACACTTATGATAAATATTTAGTTTGTTTCCAGGTTTTTGCCTTTACAAACATTGACAAATGAATAGTCCATAAATTTAGCTTTGTATACCTCAGTTATTATAATTGTAGAGAAAATTCCTTGAAGTGGCATTACTTAAAACGTTTAAACATACAAAATTTTGATAGGTATTGCCATGTTGACCCAAAAAGATGATACCCATTTCCATTTCTGCCAGCATTGTGAGAGTTAAGAAAGATGTAGTTAAGAAAATTAAGAAGGTAGTGTCAACAGGAAATCTTTAGAGTTATATAGTTTTGAAATTCAGCGTGTTTTTACATCTTTAATCTTGCTTGGTTCTCACTCAGCCTTGTGCGTGTGGAAGGGTGACTATATTCCCATTTTTGCAGATCAGGAAGCAAGTTTAGAGAAAATGACTTGCCCAACACCAGACAGATGCAGGCAGAGCCAGATGTTCAAACTCATACGCTCAGTAAGCACTCAGGGACCATTGAATGAGTGTTCATCCACTAGAACGTTCTACAATGATGGAAATACCTGTTCTGTTCAGTAGGGTTGCCACCAACCACGTGTGTCTGTTAAGCACTTGAAATACTGCCAGTACAATTGAGAAACTGAATTTTAAATTTTATTTAAATTTAAATGACCACGTGTGGCTAGTAGCTACCATATCGGACAGTGCAGTATACCATGCCAGGCCTCTCCAAACTTTTGATTGATTAAGAACACCTGAAGTGCTTATTAAAATACAGATTCATGCCGCCCCTCTGGAGTGGGGCCTGGCAATCTTCATTTCTAAACAGACCCTGGTGATTCTGATGTGAGTGGATGTGAAGAAAATCGATCCTTTACTACTGACACAGAGCACTTCACTTCTGGCACCTCCAGTCACCAGACGTTGCGTGGGGGGTTCCCCGCGCCAGGCAGTTCTGTGTGATACCAGCCAGGCATCCCGTGATTTAACTCCGTTCTGATGCTGCGTACCCGGGGATAGCATTAGATCCCACAGGTTAAGGAAGGGCTCAGTCCTAGTGGTGTCCAGGCTGGCCTTATCATCCTCATCACCTGGGAGCTTGTTAGAAATGCAAATTCTTGAGTCCCATCCCAGACTTAATGAATCGGAAACTCTGGAGGGGACCCAGCAATCTGTGGTTCACCAAGCTTTTCCAGTGATTTTGATGTATGCTAGATGTGAGAACCACTTGGTTAGAAGATCAAATGTGGACTTCCCTGGTGGCTCAGTGGTTAAGAATCTGCCTGCCAATGCAGGGGACACGGGTCTGAGCCCTGGTCCGGGAAGATTCCACGTGCTGCAGAGCAGCTAAGCCCAGGCACCACAACTGCTGAGCCTGCGCTCTAGAGCCCACAAGCCACAACTACTGAGCCCACGTGCCACAACTACTGAAGCCTGCGCGCCTAGAGCCCGTACTCCGCAACAAGAGAAGCCACCACAGTGAGAAGCCCGCACACCGCAACGAAGAGTAGCCCCCACTTGCTGCAAAGAGAAAGCTCGTGCACAGCAATGAAGACCCAATGCAGCCAAAAATAAATAAATAAATTAATTAATTTTTAAAAAAAGAAGATCAAATGTATGGGAAGACTCAGAATTGGAGAGCTTTTCATTTCTGTCACTTTCTCTCGTTTTGTTGCGGCTACAATGACCTAAACCAATTGGCAGCTTTGCCACCACTTAGGGACTGTTAGGTTGAAATAACTGAGTTGGGAGAGTGTTAAAGTCAAGATCTAAAAGTTCTTTGTTAGATCCCAAATTTTGGCATAAAAATGGTTTTAGGATTTTAGGATCTGTACCCTATCTGTGGGATACTGTCAGCATTCCACTAATTAATGGTGGCTGTGAAGAAATACTAAACTTTCATCAATCCCCAAATACGTTTAAAGATAAGAAGTACTTAAACAACAGAAGTCCGTTATATCTAAAACTTCCATAGCTTCTTTTGATCCTAAGAATAAACCTTTGCAAAATAGTATTGTTTCTTTGAAAACCTTTTGTTTTTTCTCACCTCTTTCCTTTTAGGCGTTTTGGAATAATGGGACTCTACAAAGGCCTTGAAGCCAAACTGCTGCAGACAGCCCTCACTGCTGCTCTCATGTTCCTCGTTTATGAGAAACTGACGGCTGCTACCTTCACAGTCATGGGGCTGAAGAGCGCACACAAGCGCTGAGGCACCTTCCACTGCCAGGCACTCAGAGATGCTCAAGACAGGGGATCCTTCTCTGTGGAGAGAAGCGGTTCCCCTTTTACTTGCTCCTTCCACTGAGAATTTTACCCTCATTGGCTTGGAATGCATCTAAGTTTACACATGGAATATAGCCAACTTGACCTGTTACCAACTTAGTTTTATGATGGTTGGTTGAATTTTGTGGGGGAGGTTGGGCCAATGGCCATATGAAAAGAAAACATTATTGAAAACTTAAAAATGAAAGTTTATGGGGGTTTATTGGTTTTTTTGAGGGGAATGGACTCTTGCTCTCATGTATAATCTTTTCCAAGTAGAGTCTTTTTTTAGATTTGCCAGATGGTCCCTTTCCCTTGAACCCTCCCCCAGGTCCTAGGGCAAATTTGCTACCATGTAATTCTCCTCATATACTTTTGTATGTCTTCATCTTGGTATTTTCTTCACTAAAAATGTTATGACTATGCCATAAGCATGACTTTATTTTTCTTGGCATTTTTTTCCTCCTGCTTAAGGAAAAGTATCTTCTTTAGTGTGTGAGCTATTTATTTTGTGGGGGAAATGAAAATTATTAATTCCAAATGATTCTCTTATAAACTATTTGTAAATATCACTTATTTAGTATTTGACATAATTTTAAAATATTTATTTTGAATCAACCTTTTCACTACAAAACTTGAGGTTTTATGTTCATCCATATAGGCCCCAATAAATTGTCGGCACAAAAGTCATTCTTAAAAGTTGCCCCTTATAGTATTACATTGAGTTTACAAGCAGCTGGTAAAAATCACAGAAGAGGGAGCAGATACCTTGTTTAGGCTCTGGAATATTATAAACTCTTGGTAGAGACTGTATATTTTGAGAATAAACTTGATTGAGGTTATTTCTATTTGGAAACATTCCTTAGAGTCCTGCTACTCAAAGAGTGGTGCCTCAAGCAATAGCATCGACATCACCTGGGAGCTTATTGGACATGCAGTCCCAGATCTTCTGAATCATATTCCTCATTTTAATAAGATATCTAGGCAATTTGTACTCTCACATCAAAGTTCAAGAGACCTTAGAGCTCTTGACCCTGCAGAAGATACAGTTGGTTTCAATTATGGAAGAAACCAAGACAAAGATTGTTCTCAAAGGAAAGATAGACTAATGTATTAGAGCAACCTCTGAAAAAACTGGGAGTCCTATGTCATCATTTACTTTCACCTCGTAGCACATGTTCAGGTTCGTAGGACTTTTGTTATGTGGCCAGCAATGAATTTAGACATCTCAAGGCATTCAGGAAGCAAACTCCCTTGACATTAGTAGAACAACAGCTTAGTTCTACTTAGTTTGACTTCGTTTTTGACTTAGTTTTTGTCCCTATAACACAATGACAGGTTTTTCATTTGTTAAGTCTAATTCATTCAGAGTCAGAGAGAGTAATAATCAAGTGTCTGTGGACTCCAGTATTTAAATTCAATTTTGAGAGTGGAAATTTCTTTCTCTTATTTCTCCTCTGGTCCCTGTGGTAATTTCAAAATATGTGATTATTAAACTATTAATAATTGAAAGATCATTGTGTTGTTCTAGAAAACAAGAACTAAGAGGAACTGATAATCTGGGAGCTAGCCTGAGCACTCGCTTATTTAAGCTAGAGAACTGAAGACAGAGAACTGGCCCCATTACTACTTTTTATTTTATATTAAGGTATGTGTTGTGTTGGTGGCGAGGCTTGGGTGGGGAGCATGGGAGAAGAATGATCATAAAGGTACCATGTGTACTTTTGTTACTATTTTAATTTTGATGTTCACTTTGGAACTTGAATTTTGAGCTCAGGGTATCGTGTATTGTTGGTATGTTAAAATAATTTCCAAGTCAGGTTATATAGTTATATTAGATGTTTATGATGTGAGAATGTATTTGATGCTTCTTTCTTTTCTGATTTTATGAAGGAACAATTTCATAATGTGGTTTATATTCCCTTTGGAAGCTTACAGACTCACTGCATAGTTGAAACTAGGTAATGAGTCACCCGGTTTTGTAATCTTTGATTATTAATAAGTTACTTGAGAAAACTAAGGAGCCGAAGTCTATACTAAGGGAATGGAAAATTTTTTCTTTTTGATTCTTTATGAGGTTTCTTTAGAATGTGAGGATTAAGAGCCTTAGGGATTATGTTAGTGTCACCTCAGTAGAAAACTTAATCTGTGTTTTTAAGTGGACACTAATATTTCCACCCTTGTCTATTTTACAATTAAGTTTGAAATGCAGAAATAGGATTTACCATAAGAACAAAAGCAGTGGGAGTTAGAATCTTGGGTTTTATTCCAAGCTCTGTCACTGACTAGCAAGTTACGTCATCTCCTTGTGCTTCAGCTTTTTGATAAGTGGAGATAATAATACTCACTACCCACTTCAGAGGATATTTGAGAGCTAATGATGTCAGCTAATTCCCTTTATGATCGTGGGAGAGGGAAGATCTGAGTGAAACTTGTGACAAGCCTAGATTTATATAGCAATTTCCCTTCTTAAAGCTTCTACACTTTCTCATTTTATAACCCCAATATCTCTGTGAAATAGGTAAGGACGAGTAACGGTATCCCCGTTTAATTAACAAGGAAAATGAGACAGAACTATCAAATGACTTGCCTGGTTGGAGTCGGGACTAAAGTTGAGTTTCCTGCAGTCTAGTGTAATGATTACGAGGATAGGTTCTGGAATTAGACAGACCTAGGTTCTACTCTGATCCTGCTCTTTACCGGCTGTGGGAACAAAGCAATTGCTGAACTGCTATATGGGAACAAAGCAATTGCTGAACTGCTATAAAACTCAGTGTTCTCAACTGTGAAGTGGAGATCTTGATAAATCTACCTCATAGGGTGATTGTGAGGATTAAATGAGATCATATACGTAAATTTCTTAGCACAGGGCTTGCCACATGAGAAAAGCTAGATAAATGTTAGTGATGACTATTATTATAACATTATTATTGTTGAGGAGGGATATGACTGTTTGAATAGATGCAACCGTGGTTCAGTGGAAAGCACACTGGATTTTGAGCCAGATCTGTGTTCAGATTTTCATTCTATCACTTAAAAGCATTGTGGCCGCAGACAAGTCACTTCCTCACCTTTCTTAGTCTTTATGTGTTTATTTGTCTAATAGAAATGATTACCGCACAAGACTGTTATATATATTTTTAAAAAATTTTCTTTAATCTTTTTTTAATCTTTAGATCTATATATATATATATATATATATATATATATATATATATATAGGATGTAGATATACATATATGTGCATCTGGCATATATATATACATATATATATATATATATAGATGAGGATGTAGATATATATATATGCATCTGGCAGAGTACATGACGTATAAATGTGCTTAATAAATGCCGGGGTTTTCTATTCAGATGTAGTTAACATACAACATTTTATTAGTTTCAGATGTACAACATAGTGATTTGATGTACATATGTATTGCAAAATGATCACCACAGTAAGTCTAGTAAACATCTATCACTAAAACATCCATCAGATAAATGCTGTTTGAACCAAGAGAACCTTCTAGGTTTTACTTTGGGGCAGTGTTTCCTCTTTCCACTTGTTTTAATTGTGAACATTTCTTTTCTGGGAGGCTTTTTTTTGTACCTCCTCAAAAGTGAAGCCAAATCCAATAAGTTAATGTTTTATCCAGCATTCAGATTAAGGCCCCCAAACATTTATCAGTTCATCAGTAAAATACGAACTGGTTCAGTAGCAGAACGTCCCTGGCTGAGCTAGCGTCTCATCTTGGCTCTCTGGAAAAGCTAGAGAATTGTGACTTCGTGGGTCCGAATGCCACACGTCTCTGGAGAGCCCTCCCTCTGGGCAGGTAAATTACTTACCTGGCAGTGTTGACTGTCACCAGAATACCAAACATATATGAGATTCACTTGCAGATATCTATATATGCAGTGAATGTAATTAGTGTGACCCCCACAGGGTTTTTACCACCATAGAAATGAAAGGGCCTTGGCTTAGTGCTGATGTTCATGGGACATACTGGTAGCCCCTGACAGCTATGTTCACTGGGACATAGACAAGAAAATAACTCACCCGTGGGCTAGGTGAGAGAAGAAAAGAAAGAAAATTACTATGTAAAGACAGAGTGAAGAAGAGATTAGGAGATGGATAGAAGGTTCATGGGGAGGGAGGGACAAGGCGCCAGTGCCTAGCACAGCACTCAAGGAGACATGCTCGAAAAATGTTCATAGACTGGGCAGTGAACTGCGGAACCCAGCCAATGAGGTCCAATCTGGGGAAAGGGAAGGAAAACTCGGTTTGGAACTAACCATGAAAATGGGTAATGGAACTTCCATGCATTAGTGTCTGGTAAATGCCAGGCACAATTAACTTACATACGTCTTGATATCTTTGTAACAACTCTAAATATATGAGGTTCATTCCCACTAACAGATAAATTAGTTAAGGCTTCAAGAGTAACTTATCTATGGTCACTCAACGATTGAGGGTCAGGATTTAAAATTTAGGCTGACTCCAGGACTTTCTACATTGCCACACTACATCCCTCAGATATCTTTAAAGTAAGACTTCTAAGCCAGGGTATGGTTCCCTTTTACAACCTAGAGGGGCATATGATTGAAGATATGTAATTCTTTCTGTAATGAACTATCTGAACCCCAGTATGATGCTACAAGTCTCAAGGAAAGCCTGTGGCCTTTGTATCCAAGGGTGGCTCCATAAATCCATGCTGTTTCTTGCTTCAGTGCCTGTGTTTATAGTTTCAGGAATCTCTTCCTACTGTTCTTGGTGAACTGCCCATATCAGGCATCAGCTCTTCCTGGAAGCCTTTCTGGAACTTTGCTTCCTCCTACTCACCCACCTCCAAAGACTTTTGTACTTCTTTACTATTTTGTACATATGTCTATCATTGACCTACTCCATTGAGTTTTGAATCGCAGTATCTCTGTCTTCCCCTAGATACCAACTTCTTCCAGCGCAGGAAACGAGACTTTCAAGTAGAGTGTCACTCAGGGTAGGCACTCAGTTGTCACATGAGTGTTTTTGGCTAAAGATAGTGCTGACCCTTCTCCAATCAAGTGCATCTGTTAATTATGAGTTTACATATTTTAGAATCCTTGTCCTTTGGCATTTTCTCGGTCGTTGATTATCAGTTTTTCATATTTCTTTTCCTTAATTAGTTCACACTTTTTTGAAGTATACTTTATTTTGCTAGTCATTTGGCTTTTTTAAGCTTTAAAGATCCATTATTTCTTTGATTTAATTGTAGTCACCAAAATTATCTAACTGTAGTGGTATCGCTTATCTAATTCTTCCATGTGTACTTCATTCTTGTTTTGCTTTAGCTTCTGTAGAACCTATTGACAGAGTAGATGGCCAGCCAAGTAGGTGATTCCCCTATGTGGGTGTGGTATGTAGGACCTTATTAAATTGCAAATTCCTATTCTAGGAATAACATTCTATTCATTTATTCAAGAAATCATTTTTGATTACCTCCCATATCCAAGCACTATGGCAGTTTGCTGGGATTACCCAGATGAATAATACTTAGTCTCTGCCCTTATGTAGCTCATTGTTCTACATGGGGGTCAGACAAAAAACAACTTGGAATTCTACCACTAATGAGTTCTCATAAGAAATGTAATGGAGGGAACTCCCTGGTAGTCCAGTGGTTAGGACTCTGCGCTTTCATTGCCAAGGGCCTGGGTTCAATCCCTGGTTGGGGAACTAAAATCCCACAAGACACGTGGCATTGCCAAAAAAAAAAAAAGTAATGTAAATCTTCAGGAGTTGCTTTGGGAGCGTGGAGTGGCTGGGCCCACCTCTGTCTTGGTCCGTGTAATCAGAAGGCAACATTTGAATTAAGAACACACCAAGTAGGACTTCCCTGGTGGTGCAGTGGTTAAGAATCTGCCTGCCAAAGCAGGGGACACAGGTTCGAGCCCTGGTCTGGGAAAATCCCACATGCCACGGAGCAACTAAGCCCGTGCGCCACGACTACTGAGCCTGTGTGTCACAATTACTGAAGCCCACATGCCTAGAGCCCATGCTTGGCAACAAGAGAAGCCACTGCAATGAGAAGCCCGTGCACAGCAACGAAGAGTAGCCCCCGCTCACCGCAACTAGAGAAAGCCTGCGCACAGCAACAAAGACCCAACGCAGCCATAAATAAATAAATTTATTTAAAAAAGAGCACACCAAGTAATGGGTAGAGGACCTTCTTTTTTTTAATTTAATTTGGCTGCACGGGGTCTTTAGTTGTGCATACAAACTCTTAGTTGTGGCATGTGAGATCTAGTTCTCTGACCAGGGATCGAATACAGGCCCCCTACATTGGGAGCACAGAATCTTAGCCGTTGGACCACCAGGGAAGTTAGAGGACCTTCCTGACGGAGGAAATAAGTAGTTTTGCAAAGTAGAACGAGGGTGATGCTTTATTATTTGTACATTGGTTTGAATTGGACACAGAAGCTTCCCAACCTAGATCTCTGAGTTGAACACATGTTGGAATGGTGGTGGCTACTGAGAACCTACAACAAGGAAGAAGAGGCAATCAGGACCCTTATCCTGCTTAACAGTTTTATCTATGGTTAGATTTGGGTCTAAACAAAGAAGATACATTCCCTGTACTCCATGAATTTAAAATCTAATTTTAAACATACTTTGAAAATTAGACATAACATGAATCATTTTGTTCCACCTCTGTGAAGAAGGGCCAGCAAGAGTAGTTTAGGGTATCGTGAATTGCTGTGACTGTCAAGGTCTGGAGTTGCACTTTATCTGGATCAATATGGACATGTTTACTTAGAAAATAGTTCTGAGCCTAGTTGACGATAAAACCCTAAGTACTTTATTGTGCATTTGTTCGTAGTAGAACAACAGCTTAGTTCTACTTAGTTTGACTTCGTTTTTGACTTAGTTTTTGTCCCTATAACACAATGACAGGTTTTTCATTTGTTAAGTCTAATTCATTCAGAGTCAGAGAGAGTAATAATCAAGTGTCTGTGGACTCCAGTATTTAAATTCAATTTTGAGAGTGGAAATTTCTTTCTCTTATTTCTCCTCTGGTCCCTGTGGTAATTTCAAAATATGTGATTATTAAACTATTAATAATTGAAAGATCATTGTGTTGTTCTAGAAAACAAGAACTAAGAGGAACTGATAATCTGGGAGCTAGCCTGAGCACTCGCTTATTTAAGCTAGAGAACTGAAGACAGAGAACTGGCCCCATTACTACTTTTTATTTTATATTAAGGTATGTGTTGTGTTGGTGGCGAGGCTTGGGTGGGGAGCATGGGAGAAGAATGATCATAAAGGTACCATGTGTACTTTTGTTACTATTTTAATTTTGATGTTCACTTTGGAACTTGAATTTTGAGCTCAGGGTATCGTGTATTGTTGGTATGTTAAAATAATTTCCAAGTCAGGTTATATAGTTATATTAGATGTTTATGATGTGAGAATGTATTTGATGCTTCTTTCTTTTCTGATTTTATGAAGGAACAATTTCATAATGTGGTTTATATTCCCTTTGGAAGCTTACAGACTCACTGCATAGTTGAAACTAGGTAATGAGTCACCCGGTTTTGTAATCTTTGATTATTAATAAGTTACTTGAGAAAACTAAGGAGCCGAAGTCTATACTAAGGGAATGGAAAATTTTTTCTTTTTGATTCTTTATGAGGTTTCTTTAGAATGTGAGGATTAAGAGCCTTAGGGATTATGTTAGTGTCACCTCAGTAGAAAACTTAATCTGTGTTTTTAAGTGGACACTAATATTTCCACCCTTGTCTATTTTACAATTAAGTTTGAAATGCAGAAATAGGATTTACCATAAGAACAAAAGCAGTGGGAGTTAGAATCTTGGGTTTTATTCCAAGCTCTGTCACTGACTAGCAAGTTACGTCATCTCCTTGTGCTTCAGCTTTTTGATAAGTGGAGATAATAATACTCACTACCCACTTCAGAGGATATTTGAGAGCTAATGATGTCAGCTAATTCCCTTTATGATCGTGGGAGAGGGAAGATCTGAGTGAAACTTGTGACAAGCCTAGATTTATATAGCAATTTCCCTTCTTAAAGCTTCTACACTTTCTCATTTTATAACCCCAATATCTCTGTGAAATAGGTAAGGACGAGTAACGGTATCCCCGTTTAATTAACAAGGAAAATGAGACAGAACTATCAAATGACTTGCCTGGTTGGAGTCGGGACTAAAGTTGAGTTTCCTGCAGTCTAGTGTAATGATTACGAGGATAGGTTCTGGAATTAGACAGACCTAGGTTCTACTCTGATCCTGCTCTTTACCGGCTGTGGGAACAAAGCAATTGCTGAACTGCTATATGGGAACAAAGCAATTGCTGAACTGCTATAAAACTCAGTGTTCTCAACTGTGAAGTGGAGATCTTGATAAATCTACCTCATAGGGTGATTGTGAGGATTAAATGAGATCATATACGTAAATTTCTTAGCACAGGGCTTGCCACATGAGAAAAGCTAGATAAATGTTAGTGATGACTATTATTATAACATTATTATTGTTGAGGAGGGATATGACTGTTTGAATAGATGCAACCGTGGTTCAGTGGAAAGCACACTGGATTTTGAGCCAGATCTGTGTTCAGATTTTCATTCTATCACTTAAAAGCATTGTGGCCGCAGACAAGTCACTTCCTCACCTTTCTTAGTCTTTATGTGTTTATTTGTCTAATAGAAATGATTACCGCACAAGACTGTTATATATATTTTTAAAAAATTTTCTTTAATCCTTCTTTAATCTTTAGAACAGGATGTATATATATATATATATATATATATATATATATATATAGGATGTAGATATACATATATGTGCATCTGGCATATATATATACATATATATATATATATAGATGAGGATGTAGATATATATATATGCATCTGGCAGAGTACATGACGTATAAATGTGCTTAATAAATGCCGGGGTTTTCTATTCAGATGTAGTTAACATACAACATTTTATTAGTTTCAGATGTACAACATAGTGATTTGATGTACATATGTATTGCAAAATGATCACCACAGTAAGTCTAGTAAACATCTATCACTAAAACATCCATCAGATAAATGCTGTTTGAACCAAGAGAACCTTCTAGGTTTTACTTTGGGGCAGTGTTTCCTCTTTCCACTTGTTTTAATTGTGAACATTTCTTTTCTGGGAGGCTTTTTTTTGTACCTCCTCAAAAGTGAAGCCAAATCCAATAAGTTAATGTTTTATCCAGCATTCAGATTAAGGCCCCCAAACATTTATCAGTTCATCAGTAAAATACGAACTGGTTCAGTAGCAGAACGTCCCTGGCTGAGCTAGCGTCTCATCTTGGCTCTCTGGAAAAGCTAGAGAATTGTGACTTCGTGGGTCCGAATGCCACACGTCTCTGGAGAGCCCTCCCTCTGGGCAGGTAAATTACTTACCTGGCAGTGTTGACTGTCACCAGAATACCAAACATATATGAGATTCACTTGCAGATATCTATATATGCAGTGAATGTAATTAGTGTGACCCCCACAGGGTTTTTACCACCATAGAAATGAAAGGGCCTTGGCTTAGTGCTGATGTTCATGGGACATACTGGTAGCCCCTGACAGCTATGTTCACTGGGACATAGACAAGAAAATAACTCACCCGTGGGCTAGGTGAGAGAAGAAAAGAAAGAAAATTACTATGTAAAGACAGAGTGAAGAAGAGATTAGGAGATGGATAGAAGGTTCATGGGGAGGGAGGGACAAGGCGCCAGTGCCTAGCACAGCACTCAAGGAGACATGCTCGAAAAATGTTCATAGACTGGGCAGTGAACTGCGGAACCCAGCCAATGAGGTCCAATCTGGGGAAAGGGAAGGAAAACTCGGTTTGGAACTAACCATGAAAATGGGTAATGGAACTTCCATGCATTAGTGTCTGGTAAATGCCAGGCACAATTAACTTACATACGTCTTGATATCTTTGTAACAACTCTAAATATATGAGGTTCATTCCCACTAACAGATAAATTAGTTAAGGCTTCAAGAGTAACTTATCTATGGTCACTCAACGATTGAGGGTCAGGATTTAAAATTTAGGCTGACTCCAGGACTTTCTACATTGCCACACTACATCCCTCAGATATCTTTAAAGTAAGACTTCTAAGCCAGGGTATGGTTCCCTTTTACAACCTAGAGGGGCATATGATTGAAGATATGTAATTCTTTCTGTAATGAACTATCTGAACCCCAGTATGATGCTACAAGTCTCAAGGAAAGCCTGTGGCCTTTGTATCCAAGGGTGGCTCCATAAATCCATGCTGTTTCTTGCTTCAGTGCCTGTGTTTATAGTTTCAGGAATCTCTTCCTACTGTTCTTGGTGAACTGCCCATATCAGGCATCAGCTCTTCCTGGAAGCCTTTCTGGAACTTTGCTTCCTCCTACTCACCCACCTCCAAAGACTTTTGTACTTCTTTACTATTTTGTACATATGTCTATCATTGACCTACTCCATTGAGTTTTGAATCGCAGTATCTCTGTCTTCCCCTAGATACCAACTTCTTCCAGCGCAGGAAACGAGACTTTCAAGTAGAGTGTCACTCAGGGTAGGCACTCAGTTGTCACATGAGTGTTTTTGGCTAAAGATAGTGCTGACCCTTCTCCAATCAAGTGCATCTGTTAATTATGAGTTTACATATTTTAGAATCCTTGTCCTTTGGCATTTTCTCGGTCGTTGATTATCAGTTTTTCATATTTCTTTTCCTTAATTAGTTCACACTTTTTTGAAGTATACTTTATTTTGCTAGTCATTTGGCTTTTTTAAGCTTTAAAGATCCATTATTTCTTTGATTTAATTGTAGTCACCAAAATTATCTAACTGTAGTGGTATCGCTTATCTAATTCTTCCATGTGTACTTCATTCTTGTTTTGCTTTAGCTTCTGTAGAACCTATTGACAGAGTAGATGGCCAGCCAAGTAGGTGATTCCCCTATGTGGGTGTGGTATGTAGGACCTTATTAAATTGCAAATTCCTATTCTAGGAATAACATTCTATTCATTTATTCAAGAAATCATTTTTGATTACCTCCCATATCCAAGCACTATGGCAGTTTGCTGGGATTACCCAGATGAATAATACTTAGTCTCTGCCCTTATGTAGCTCATTGTTCTACATGGGGGTCAGACAAAAAACAACTTGGAATTCTACCACTAATGAGTTCTCATAAGAAATGTAATGGAGGGAACTCCCTGGTAGTCCAGTGGTTAGGACTCTGCGCTTTCATTGCCAAGGGCCTGGGTTCAATCCCTGGTTGGGGAACTAAAATCCCACAAGACACGTGGCATTGCCAAAAAAAAAAAAAGTAATGTAAATCTTCAGGAGTTGCTTTGGGAGCGTGGAGTGGCTGGGCCCACCTCTGTCTTGGTCCGTGTAATCAGAAGGCAACATTTGAATTAAGAACACACCAAGTAGGACTTCCCTGGTGGTGCAGTGGTTAAGAATCTGCCTGCCAAAGCAGGGGACACAGGTTCGAGCCCTGGTCTGGGAAAATCCCACATGCCACGGAGCAACTAAGCCCGTGCGCCACGACTACTGAGCCTGTGTGTCACAATTACTGAAGCCCACATGCCTAGAGCCCATGCTTGGCAACAAGAGAAGCCACTGCAATGAGAAGCCCGTGCACAGCAACGAAGAGTAGCCCCCGCTCACCGCAACTAGAGAAAGCCTGCGCACAGCAACAAAGACCCAACGCAGCCATAAATAAATAAATTTATTTAAAAAAGAGCACACCAAGTAATGGGTAGAGGACCTTCTTTTTTTTAATTTAATTTGGCTGCACGGGGTCTTTAGTTGTGCATACAAACTCTTAGTTGTGGCATGTGAGATCTAGTTCTCTGACCAGGGATCGAATACAGGCCCCCTACATTGGGAGCACAGAATCTTAGCCGTTGGACCACCAGGGAAGTTAGAGGACCTTCCTGACGGAGGAAATAAGTAGTTTTGCAAAGTAGAACGAGGGTGATGCTTTATTATTTGTACATTGGTTTGAATTGGACACAGAAGCTTCCCAACCTAGATCTCTGAGTTGAACACATGTTGGAATGGTGGTGGCTACTGAGAACCTACAACAAGGAAGAAGAGGCAATCAGGACCCTTATCCTGCTTAACAGTTTTATCTATGGTTAGATTTGGGTCTAAACAAAGAAGATACATTCCCTGTACTCCATGAATTTAAAATCTAATTTTAAACATACTTTGAAAATTAGACATAACATGAATCATTTTGTTCCACCTCTGTGAAGAAGGGCCAGCAAGAGTAGTTTAGGGTATCGTGAATTGCTGTGACTGTCAAGGTCTGGAGTTGCACTTTATCTGGATCAATATGGACATGTTTACTTAGAAAATAGTTCTGAGCCTAGTTGACGATAAAACCCTAAGTACTTTATTGTGCATTTGTTCGTGTATTAAAAATTATAAAAGCAGTGAAGACTTAAGGGAAGGGGAATTTTAATACACATTTGTTCATGTATTAAAAATTATAAAAGCAGTGAAGACTTAAGGGAAGGGGAATTTAAAAATTGAGAAAGTCCTTTCTATTTCTCTTTTAATTCACAACTGGTTTATAGATGTGGCATTTACAGATTTTTTTCTTAATGCGCTCATTCTCACTTTATTCTCTCTATTGTAAGAATTACTTTAATTACTTTTATACTGTATAGATGGGGAAATGGAGACGCAGATCTGGCTCAGGTCACATAGCAAAGGATTGGGAGTCAAAAACGTGAATTCAGACCTCCTGATATTCTATCCAATAATCTTTCACTGTCTTGTACTGCTTGGAGGTATCTCTGTTTTCATTTTGGTTTAAAGTTTTTCTTTTAGCTGTTTTAGGGTTTTTTTTAACAACAATAATACACAGTCATTAAAAATTTTTCAGAAAATACAGAAAAGAAGAATGAAGAGAGTAAGGATATATTCCTGTATATATATGTTTATATATCCTCCTATATTCTTACTGCCTAGAAATCACTGCTAATATTTAACTATATCTGTCTTCAGACTTGTTTAAATATATACATTCACAGATATATTTATAGATAGGGTTTTTTAAATGAGATCAAACTATTCCTAATTTTGTAACTTTTTCATCTCAAATATAATTTGCTGTCAGTAAATATCTATGTCATAATTTGTTACATAGAATTGCATTGTATGAATGTATCATTATTTAGTTAGACTCCTACTGATGGACTTCTAGGTGGTTTCCAATTTTTTGCTATTATAAATAATGTGATAAAATCCCTAATATATGATTCCTTTTATATTTTCTGGTTACTTCTTTAAGAAAAATTTCCAGGAATATCCAGTTACCAGGTCAAAAGGTATGCCTCCTGTGAATTATGTTATTAAATTAAAACTTCATCCTATCTATTCCTTTATGTTCCTTGTCACTTTGGAAACACTTTCTTTCTCTCCTCACCTCTACTTTGGCAAGCTGCAGGAGAATTCCATTCTGAGTGTGAAAGGGAAGAAGAGTTGTGTGCCAGGGGCTGAGCTTTACATGCTTTTTCGTTTTATTCTCATAACAGTCCTATGAAATTCAGAGTTAAATGAGGTATATCAAAAGCAATCATAATAGGAGTTTAGATTTGCTGAAAATTAGATTTCTTCCAGCAGATGGCTTGGATCATTGAATATCACATGCTAAAACATAATAATTTATTGAGCACCTACCATGCGCCAGTTGCCATACTAGATGCTTTACATAAATTATCTTATTTAATCCTTCTACAAAGGTTCTAAAGCCTGTGTACTTTCCACAGTTCTCCCCTTTGAACCTTGGTTCCAAGTCTATATCCTTGCTCCTGTGCCTTTGTTAGATGGCAAATTCTAGAGGGCAGGGACTTGCTATTAATCATTTTCTAAATCACCGTGAACATGAGGTCACATTGGGCAAGTGCCTCTGTAAAAATGCTTTATGATTATGATCGTTATGAAAAGCAAAGAAGACTTTTACAATTTATCTTTGTTGACTTTTTAATTTATAAGTAAGCTATTTGATAGAAAATGGCTGTTGTTTTGTTTTTGTTTTATGCAGCTGCAGATATGGCGAAAACTTTAGGCCACCAGAGGGCATTGCAGTCAGCCTCCTTTATCATCACTATAAATCACTGCTGTCAGAGATGCCTAGTGAAAATTGTTCCCAGTTTAACCAAAAAGAGAAGCATTCTTAGACTCCATGAGCAGTCTGCATAGGACCTGTGGCTTGAACTTGGTGGAGCGCTACCTTGAAGCACCCTTTTTATCTATAAAAGTGAAGAATGGAGTAGGTAGTATTTTGCTGAAATTATATTCTTTTACTTTTTCCTTTCCCCAAGCCTATGCCTAAACTTTTAATTTGTCATCCACAATTTATAATCTTCTCTTGGCCAGATATTAAAGCTGGCAGCTCTCAATCTCTATAGAAACTGAAGGCAGAGAAACAATGGACAGAGCCTTTGTCCAGTAGCATCCACCTCTTTACTGGTCTTTACTGACACTAATAAAAACTTGCAAAATTGACTGATCCGCAGTTGAGTGACTCCCTCATTTCTGTTCACCATCTGATAGAAGTGCCAATAGGCAGAAAAATGACTAAAAGGCAGAGCAGGAAAGAAAAGACATAAAAGGCATTTTGATAACCCGTGAATTTGAAAATCAATTTAAATCTTTACTAGACAAGTATTTTTTAAAATGTAAACAGGTAGGGACTTCCCTGGCGGTCCAGTGGTTGAGAATTTGCCTTCCAATGCAGGGGATGCGGGTTCGATCCCTGGTCTGGGAACTAGGATCCCATGTGCCTCGGGGCCACAAAAACCAAAACATAAAAAAACGGAAGCAGTGTTGTAACAAACTCAATAAAGACTTTAGAAATGGTCCACAGAAAAAAATCTTTTAAAGAAAATGTAAACAAGTAAATCTTACCACATAATTTGAAATAAATTTTCTAAGTATTGAGGCTTCTAAGTTGCAGCCAACTAGAGCTCTCATTGACCTGTGCCGCAGGAGCGTTTAAGATACTAATTTATCTCACAGATATTTTTGAGTACATTCATACTGGGCACTTGATAAGCACTGGCATACAGATATGAATAATAATCTTAATGTTGCTTTATAGTTTAGAAAACAACCTGGCATCTGCTGTCTTTCTTGGTCCTCGCTTCATGCCGCTGAGATGAATTGGGCAGATGTTAGCTCTCCGTTTTACAGGTGGGGGGATGGGTTCGAATGGTGAAATGACTTGTTCACGGTTACACAAAGAGTGACAGAGTAGGGCTCAAACACAGGTCTTCTGACCCAAGTCCCATCCTGTCCCACAACACCATGCTGTCTTCCTAGAAGAAGTGAGCCTATTACTCTCAAAGGAGGACTTGAGGGATATACTATGCCAGAGGACCCAGGGTTTGAAGTAGATACATTATAGCCACTTGGTTTTGATTGTTAGTTTAATAAGCAACTTAGCACGTAAGTTCAAAAGCTTACCAGTACTATTTCTGTTTTTTCCAAAAATGGAAGGTAGATTCAGTATGCAGGCAATGAAAAAAACAAAAACAAAAAACTGGAATCTTTTTTCCTACTTGGTTGACATATTTACTAAGAATTTAACTTTTTCAAGTCTCTGAGTCCCTGCATCTTTCCCTCAGGTATGATTTGTGCAGTAATGCCCATGTTAAAAAGAACAGGACCATCATTTGTGTGTCAAGCTTGGGTAAGAATGTCTCTAACACAAAGTTCACTGTGTGCTTTTTATGTCTTTGGTAGTTTTGGAACATAATACACTGGCTAGAGCTCTTATCAAGTAACCTCTGCATTAAGTTGTATTTCTCTGTTTACTTCCCTACCTCCCTGGATAGATTAAAGGCCCATACTTCTCATCACCATTACTGTGTCCCAGGCATTATTATGAGTACTCTATAAATATTTGTCCAATGAGTGTATATATTGAGGGAGGTGGGGTATAGTGTTGAATTTAGGTTTGTCTAAGCCAGAGTACCTAGAGTTGCAATCCCCGGGATAGTATGTATTTTGACAAAAAGTAAGACGTGGCTTCCCCAAGATTTAGCATCTTGGTAATTTCCCCACATTAAATACAACATGATACCTGTATTCCTTAGTCTGAAGTGAATAAAGTGTGCGATGTGTCCAGGCAGAAGGGAGCTGAGAAGCAAATGCACAAGCTTAGCACTATGTAAGCAGAAAGAATACTATGTAATTAAAACGAGAATGCTGGCATCATCCTTCTCACATGTTTTTCATCTGTGCTCCTGGTCCTAGAGTGCAGTTTTCATTTTTGTGTCTCCGGTACCTAACAGGAGGCTTAATAATGGTGCTTAATAAGTATTGTTGCCTTGTACCAAAGGTACTCTGCTAATCAAGAAGTCAACAACAACAAAAAAAAAAAGAAGTCAACAAAGAATTTTTGAGCATATGCCACGTGCCAGCCACTTTGCTAAACAATAGGGATACACTGTGAGCAGAATAGATGAGGTCCCTGCTCTTGTGGGACTTGGGTTGGGATGGAAGGAGATAGCAAGGAGCATACAAACCAGTAAGGGGATTTTAGGTACAGATAAGTGCTGTAAACAGTATAACGTAGGGAGCAGGTAGAGCAGGTAGAGCTAACATACTCTAAAGATATTTTAGTTACCAGCCTCCGTGTGAGAGAGAGTATTCAAGCAATGTGTACAAGCGCTGATATGAGGAAGGCGGTAGAATACCAGAGCAGGAGAACACCAAGTCATGCAGAGATAGAAAAGGGCTCGAATGCAGTATAAAGTTGCCAACTAAGGGAATTTATATTAAATGTATATGTATATATTATTATGATGATTGAGACGTTTCCCTCAGCTTCGGGTCTTCGTATTAGACTATGTGGCAGGTGGTATGAGACCAGCCTTTCTTCCGCCCAAACTTCATAAATTCGATTTCTAAAGTTGATTCACCATCTTCATAAACAGTATCTTCTTTATCTGAGGTGCCAATTGGGCTTTACGTGTGCTATACTAAGTTCCAAAATACTGTTTCCACCCAGAATGGCCTCCCTGAGCATTCTAGGTCCAGCAGGTAGTGGCTGCAGATTGCCATGATTCTACTTCCACTCATGGACTTGGTGCTCTTTCCCTCACCTACCAAATTCCACCACCAAATTCCCCCAAATCAGAACTTGGTTCAGAACTGAATTTAGGCATGACCAACTAAAATCTGGAGTAAGTTAAGCAGTCACGTCTCTATTATCTTTTTTCTTCTTCTTTTTTTGGCCACACCATGCAACATGTGGGATCTTAGTTCCCTGACCAGCAATCGAACCTGTGCCCCCTGCATTGGAAGCACGGAGTCTTAACCACTGGATTGCCAGGGAAGTCCCTTTCTTTCTATTTTTATTTATGAGCTTATCCTTAGTGGTGATGCTGAATTTTTTTTTAAACAGTTTTTTTGAGGTATAATTCACATGCCATATAATTCACCCATTTCAAGTGTACCATTCAATAGTTTTTAGTAAGTTACAGATGTGTGGAACCATCACCACAGTCAATTTTAGAACATTTCCATCACTTCAGAAAGAAAGCCCATACCCTTTAGGCATCACTCCCTCATCTCCCAATTCCCTCCCCCGCTATCGGTAAGCAACCACTAACCTACATTCTGTCTCTTTGGAGTCCTCTGTTCTAGACTTTTATATGAATGGAATCATATAATATGTGGACTTTTGTGACTGGCTTCTTTCAGTTAGTATGTTTCTAATGTTCATAGAAGTTGTAGCGTGCATTAGTACTTCATTACTTTTTATGACTATATAACATTTTATGAATATACAACATTATTTTATCTATTCATCTGTTGATGGGCATTTGGCTTGTTTCTATCCTTTGGCTGTTGTGCATAATGCTGCTATGAACATTCATGTACAAGTTTTTGTCTGGACATATGTTTTCATTTCTTTTGGGTACAACACATTCTCTTTGGTACATTCCTAGAAGTGGAATTGCTTGGTCAGGTGGTTACTCTATGTTTAATCATTTGAAGAACCACCAGATTGTTTTCCAAAGTGGCTGCCCCATTTTACATTCCCCCCAGCAATGTATGAAAGTTCCAGGACTTCCCTGGTGGTCCAATGGTTAAGAATCCGCCTGCCAATGCAGGGGTCACGGTTCAGTCCCTGGTCCAGGAAGATCCCACATGCCGTGGGGCAACTAAGCCCCTGTGCCACAACGACTGAGCCTGCGCTCTAGAGCCTGCGAGTCACAACTACTGAGCCTGCGTGATAGCGTCTTTGGGGGCTAATCCTTTAGAACCACAATAGACTTTTTGGTGTGAAATCCTCATTAGTGACAAAACTCCTGTTTTGTTGAATCGTGACTATGTACACAGTTAAATACTACATTTCCCAACTTTCCTTACAGAGACGATGGCCTCCTCCCCTTCCCCTCCTCATCCTTCTTAATTGGCAAAAGTTATATGTGAATACATTCTGGTTGTACAGGCTTCAAACAGTAAAAATGTACGTCCTTTACCTGCTCTCCACCCAGAAGTAATTACCATGAACAGTTTGATACACAACCTAACAGTACCCTTCTATGAATTTAAGTCAGTTTATTTTCTACATAGTCACCCAGTGTTTCTGATTTCTTATTTCCTAAGTAATGTTCAGCAGCCTTTTTTTATTGAGGAATTTCAAGGCACATTTTAAAAAAATATCCCTTTGTAAGGAAAAGAAATCCAGAAATTTTAGGTTAGAGGAGCCTTTTGGAATGCACTACCCTGTTACCTTCAATCACGTCTCTCCTGAGTCTGAGTTCTTGTTTTCCAAAGAATGGTGAAAATCTATTTTTCTCCCTTAGTCCTCTAGTAGCCAGGTTAAAGTGAGGTCACTGTGACTGTATTATCTTCAGAGAGGAAGCACCTCCCCTTCCTTAGGATAGAGGCACCTGCTGGCTAAGTAGGCAACAGGCCTAAAGATTTAGGGGCAACATATAATTTCCAGTCCAAACATCTACCAAATATAGAGTGTTACTGTATTCAAGGCATTGTGGAGACTCTGTGGGGTGTATGAAGAAATGCAAGGCAATCCTAGCCCCCAAGAAGCATGCAGTTTATTCTGGAAGATAACCAGCAATACAAGATTGTTTACTTTTATGTAAAAAGTAGTATCTATGGGAGTCAGGATGGCGGTGTGGGAAGACACACAGTTAGTCTCCCCACAACTAGGGCACGTGCCAGCCACTGGTGGGGGACTCTGATGCCCAAGGAGACTGGAGGAACCCCAGAGTGAACCGGTAGGACATAGGGGGACTGAGGGGGAAGGAGAAGTGGAGGCTGGTTAGGGTCGGCGCCCCTGAGGCTGGGAAGATCAGGAGAGGCAGGTGGGAGAGACTCTCCAGGAAGAGCGGAAGAGGAGCAGAGAGCGGTTGCCTGGCCCACTCGGGCTGGGGAGCCTGCTGAGCTCCCAGGCCGGTAACCCCTCCCCCTCCAAAGCCCCATCCAGGCCGCATGGGTCCTGGGGGCATAGGAGGGAGGCTGGGGAGATCAGGAGAG